AGAGATCATCGATCAGCGCGACCAAAGCAGTTTCCATGCTGTAACCAGGCCTGAAACCCGACTGAAAGGGATCCAGAGTAAATTTGCATTCGTTTTCCCTTTATAAAAGAATAAAAAATAAAGCTTGTGTACTGAATAATTTTGAAAAACAAAACAAAACAATTCATTCTGCCTGGAACTTGGATCCATTCATACAGACTTTTGGAGTGTTTGAATAAACAAATATAGTAAGTGGTTAATACCTCTTGGTCACTGTTTGCATGTAATTGCTTTGTCTTGCCCTGCAATAATTGTTTTAATTTGTACTAATTCATATCACATGAACATCATCCTTTGAACTTTTTATTACATAAGAAGATAACAATATCTGTAATGAATAAAATTAAAACAACGTAGGAAGTATTTCGATATCAATGGAAGTCACCTGTATGGAATCAGATTTTCATTAACCTCTGTTGCTCTAGGTTTTCTTATCATTGAAAATGAATTTGCTTTTTGAAGGAATGAAACAATGATACATTCACACATGTATATTATGATTGACCCCGTAGGATCAGAAAATATTCATGTATCTCAGCTCTTGCAAAAAGCAAAAATTGAAGTAACTGAAGATGGAACCAAAGCTTCTGCAGCAACAAGTAAGTATTTGTTTGATCTAAATCATTAAAAAGTATACCGAAATAGCATTAAGAATCTATATTTTAATCTATTCCAAAAAGCTCCCCTCATTTTCTTTAAAAGCCTGGTGAATTTATTCATATATAAAGAAAAAAAATTAATAAAGAGGCATTTGGAATTTGGCCTGAACAATATAACATAGCATATTATTTCCAAAATATTACAATCAGTCCAAAATACAATTTAAGGATTCCATGTTTAATGCTGCTAACAAAATAAACTTTGCTGCATCCTGGCCAACAACCCTGATTTAAACGATTCTCCACAGAGCTCTTATATAACCATGTATGCAGATCTGAGCACTTAAATATAGGAATTTAGAATTTAATACTGCATTTCATAACATTTCTACTTGTAATCCTTTTTCAAGTAATGATGTATATTGATTTAGAAAACATTTTACTGTCTAACTTGGCACATGTAACTTAATTATATGTACAAACAATATGGTTGGTATATTGTACTGAAATCTTAAATGTGACATTTTTGCTTCATATTTAAAAAAAAACATTGGTTGTGCTTACAATATAATCTTTTTAAAATATCCATTCTTAAAAGATCTGTATTCAGTATCAAAAGTATGTATGACACTGTCCTGTTTTTCCTGTTAAAATTTTCATGTTCTTCCTTGGAGCCTTTCGGAATACATGAATTTTATCCATTTATAATTAAATATTGATATTTGAATTTGAATATGGTCCTTAGAACACTGTACAAAATTAAATAAATGTGACTGGCAGGGGGAAAAACCTGTTTTTGCTAAAACTAGACCATTTGCATTATTCTCTTTGTTGTTTTTCTTCCATAATAGAAAGTTGCACATTTTTAAGATCTGTTTTAACTGAGAAAAATTCATTTATTTTTTATAAAGTATTTTTCCAACTCATCGAATGTTTTTATCTAGCGTGTAAAAAGATAAATTAAGTTCATATGGTAGCGATTCAGAAGAAAGAGCAAGTAATCATTCAAGTTTTTGTTCTGCTTTGTCTAGCTGCAATTGTAACAGCTCGGTCATCACCTCCTTGGTTTGTGGTGGATCGACCATTTTTATTCTTCATACGACACAACCCTACAGGTAATTCTATGTCAAACTTTATATAAATATATTTATGTATGTATGTATGTATGCATGCTGGATTGTTGTATTTGGGTATTTTCCCATGTAAGATTGAGATTGTCTTGGCAACATTTCGGTGAAATAGAGAAACACCCCTACAACATGAATAAACATGACGATACCTCCCGCCTACCAGACATCTGGAAAACAGCCCTAGTCAACAAACGAGCCCTACCCACCACCCAGGCCGTTACAACACAAAACAACAACGGAAACACAGCCAGCACCAATCAGCACCAATCTACCAATCATGATACAACTATACAGCCAATCAATCCACTTACTGAAACAAAGCCAGCACTCCCCACTCCCCTCCCAAGATTTATAGAAAGACGGCAGCTCTGACCACGCTTTACTCACACAAACATGAAGTCGAAAATACCAGCCTAAAGATGGCGAGTGAGACCTCGCCAAAACATTGCCAAGACAATCTCAATCTTACACGGGAAAAGTCCCGAAAAAAATAATACCAGCATACCTACACCCATGAAAATCTACTAAAACATATATGTGTGTGTGTGCGTGTATGTATGTATATATGTATATATATGTATGTATGTATGTGTGTATGTGTATATATATATATAAATTCAGACAGCTTTCCTCCATAGAAAGAACTGAAGCTCAAAAACATTTCAGACTTGCTTCCGTATCTTTCAAAATAAGGTTCCCAAACTCCCTTCTTCTTTATTGTTAATAAGAAATGTCTTTTCTTGACAGCAACAGAGTAATCTGCAGCTGTGCAGGATTTAAACACTTAGGAGTTGTTGCCAGGAACAAATAGATTCTGTGTTTCATTAGTGTATTTCTTAGCTAATCTACATATTATGATGCATGCTTTGAAATAAAATGCCAACTCTTTGGAAGAGCTGAGTTCTGGCATCGATTCCCAGATATGGGCAGCTTAGGACATCAAAGGCACATTATGCAACTCTGAAGATGCACAGTGGCCAATTGTCAGCCACACATCTCAGAGCTTTGATCCATTTCTCATTGATATTCTAAACTAAACATAAGCCAGCTGGTAGGGAAGCCACCATTTTCTCCTCCAAATATGACTCGGAAGGTGATTCAAATAATGGTACATTTTAACAACCACCACAAAAAAATACATTGTTTTTTATCGTTCTTTCTTCCTCTCTACCACAAATTCATATAAAGACCAAATAAAATTAAATCTTCTTTAAAGTAATATTTTAATTATGATATGATTAGGCATATTTAGGGGCATACTATACTTATTCAACAATGACAGAAAATTTGTGAACTCTAGTGCTATCCATGCTCATAGTGCATATTCATATCCATAATCTGATCTACAAAGCAACAAGTTTCATCTTAATTCTCTTAATAGATATAGATTTAAAAAACTGGAGTGTGATGTGTGAATTGAATGCACTAAGCCAATATCCAGTGTCGTTGTTGAAAAAAGGAAAAGGAAGTTTAAAAAAAGTTTAAAGTAAATGAGAACCACTCTGAGACCACATTGTGTAAAGCATTGTTGTTGGGTGTCTCAGTGTCACTCTATTACTTTCACAAGTTCTTTGTGATGTAGTGCTTTTAAGTGGCTAATCATGAAAGCTCTTGGATCCCTATACCATACTCTATAAGTGTGTGTGTGTGTGTGTGTGTGTGTGTGTGTGTGTGTGTGTGTGTGTGTGT